CAGCATTTTTCTTCAACTGGGTCAGGAGAAAAACCTGGACCCCACCGGGCTATTAGAGGAAAGAGCTTTCCCAGCCCTGCCTGTGATCCCTTCAGGCTCTGGTGCCTGACAGCTGCTGAGGGGGTCTCTGTGTCCCCAGAGGAGGTTTCGTTTGCTCTTCCTTTGCCTGCCTACCAAGGGAGGGTTGGGTTGGACGGTAGGAAAAAGTTCCAAGGCGTCAGGGGGGTTAAACACTGGGATAAATCGCCTCTCTCCATCCCTGGGGATGGTCTAACGGTTCCAAGGGAGGGTTGGGTTGGACGGTAGGAAAAAGTTCCAAGGCGTCAGGGGGGTTAAACACTGGGATAAATCGCCTCTCTCCATCCCTGGGGATGGTCTAACGGTTTCCAACCTTTTTAAGCAGGGGATCACTTTTTGAATTAAGTGCAATCCAGGATCCACCTCAAACCCAAATCTCCTGGCCCCGCCCCCTCTGTGCCCCTTATCCGAGGCCCCGCCCCTGCTCACTCCATCCTCCCTCCCCCACCCTCTCTCCCTTTCCCCAGGCTGAGGCAGAGGGTTGGGCTGCAGGTTCTGGCCTTGGATTCAGGGATTTGCGGTGTGAGAAGGGCTCTGAGTTGGGATTAACCGGTTAACTGATACACAAGCTTGTCGGTTAATGCTATAGACTACACACCTCCCCCCCCCCTTTGCCAGTACATTTTTCAGCAGCCAGCCTCAGTCCTGGCTTGTGCCAGGTCTGGGACCTACCCCCGTTGTGGCTCTGCATTTAAAGTGTATTAAGAGCCAGGCGGGGAGGCAGCCTGGCTCAGTTCCAGGTCTGGGAGCTCAGATCTACACCCCCCCCCCCCTCCGCAAGACACAGGTTGCTGCCACCCCGCGCTGCTCCTTCTGTATCAGAGGCAACAGCACCGGGTGACAGGCAGCTGGTCCGTGATGAAGCTGATTTTTAAAACCGGCTCCCCACATGGACCAGCTCCTGCCTGGTACCCCACGCTGCTGTCTCTGATAGAGAGGCAGCTGTGCAGAGTGGCAGGGGGCTCCTCGGGAGTGGGGCTGGAGTGCGCTGGCTACTGGCCCCGCCCCCAGGGACTATAGAATGGTCGAGAGACCGATAAGAATTCACGAGGTTACTCGACTATTCAATTAACCGATATTTAACATCCCCAATTCTGAGCTGCTCTTGGGCCAGGCAGTTGGGGTGCAGGAGGGGTTCTAGGTGCAGGCTCTGTCAAGGCATTTGGATGTAGGGGTGCTTGGGGAAATGGCAGGGACTTGGGGTGCTGAGGGGGTTAGTTAGAGGAGGGTGGTTTATCTCTTTAAAAGTGATGCTTTTAGATTCCAGCAGATGCCGGCTCCTGTTGCTGTGATGGGCAAAGACAAAGAGCAGCACCCAGCACACTGGCCCTTTGCTGTTCATTTCTGGATTCACCCCTCACTTTCTCTGCTTTTCCAAACGAGACAGCCCCTTTTATGACCGCCCCCGTATTGAGTGCTCATAACCCCACAGCCAGGACCTCTGTGGGAATGGGGGACGCCAGCAGCCCTGGTGGGTGCAAAGGGCTCAGCTGTGGGAGTTAGGAACCTGCCTCCCCAGTTCATACTGGGGTTTGAGTGTCTGGCTGGAGCAGTGCATGGGGCTCAGGCCACTGTCCCTGCGGGTGCCCAGAAGGTTCTGTGTCTACCCAGCCCCCTGCTCACGCTCAGCGCAACAGCTGCCTGGTCCCTGCAGCTCCCAGGAGCCGGGGCAGAGCGTGGGAAAGGCGGCTCTGGGGCAGCCTGCAGGGGGCGCTGCGGAAGGACACAAAGTTACTCCCCAGGATCCAAAGAGCGGTGCCCTGGCGGGGGACTCAGCCCCCTGCTGCTGCGGGATGGGGCTTGTCAAACAGCCTCCCCCAGCCCGGCCTGTTCTCTCCTTCCAGGGGCCGGGGCCCAGGAGTTCCAGCTGCTGCAGCCCCAGCGCGCCGTGTCGGTGTCAGCGGGACAGACTCTCACCCTGCACTGCTCTGTGACTGGGAACCCTCCGGCAGGACCCATGAAGTGGTTCAAGGGCGCCCCCTGCTGCTGCGGGATGGGGCTTGTCAAACAGCCTCCCCCAGCCCGGCCTGTTCTCTCCTTCCAGGGGCCGGGGCCCAGGAGTTCCAGCTGCTGCAGCCCCAGCGCGCCGTGTCGGTGTCAGCGGGACAGACTCTCACCCTGCACTGCTCTGTGACTGGGAACCCTCCGGCAGGACCCATGAAGTGGTTCAAGGGCTCGGGCCCCACCCGCCTGCTGGTTTATGCAGAGTCAGGATCATTCCCCCGGGTGACGAAGGTGGCCAACACTGACACTGACTACTCCATCCGCATCAGTGACACCCGCCTCGAGGACGCCGGGACCTATCGCTGTGTGAAGTTCAAGAAGGGGCCGGGAGCCGATGAGGAGATCGGATCCGGCGCTGGCACGGCCGTGTCTGTGAGCGGTGAGTGCGAGCTCCCAGCCGGCCACACGCCCCTCCCCCCGGGGCCGGTACCAGGGAGGGGAACAAACCCGGCTCAGCCCAGACAGTAACTGAGGAGCTGGGCTTCCCACTGAGCCTGAAGCAAAGTGGAACTGAGGAGACCTGCCCCAGATCTTGGGTGGGGAAATTTCTGTTCTAGCCACAGGAATTGCTACCCCCAAACTGAAATGAATGCCCATG